CTTGTTGTGTATCACGTATCTTAATTATCTCGGTTTTCACCTCTCAATCTCTCTGGGATCATGTTAGGCAATAAGGTCGCTAGCAAATCTTACACTATAACAGCCAGGAAAACCTGGAGAGGCATAAACCACGAGGTTAATACTGAGTCAAAAATCCCAACGTCGTGCGGACGGGTTGTTAAAAACCCAAACCGTCAGTCAATAGAATCCCTCTTAGTGTCCATACTTTGGATCACTCAACGCGAACACCACAGAGGAAGCAAGACACCACTCCTCCTATCTCCAACAAGACCAGTGAGCTAGTTAAGAATAGGAAAAAAGGCATTCCAAGGCCCAGACGACACAGTCTGACGTCCAGAAACGGCATAAGGATGACTCATTCGCTTGTTCATTACCAGTCAAAATCAATGACTGTGCTTCTGAATGCGACTTCTGTAGTACATGGGTACACTGTCACTGCGACACTACGGTACCTAACGAGTACTACGGGTTCATGCTGAGTCACCCTTGCCCATGGTTCTGGTATACTTGTTCCCGATGTAGAGTATTTGAGGCATTGGAAAAGCCACAGGTCTCACCCAAAATCAGCTCTAAAATCCTAACGACCAAACCAAAATCGCCTGGCACTAAACTAGTAAAACAAGTGACCAAGGCTACCAAAACCCTGCCTAACACACCGACCGAACTGCCGGTTGTTGCTAATCCCCCAGTATGTGTAAACAATACAGAGCAGAGGATGAACGTGAAGAAGGGAAATAGCAACACGCCAACTCACAAGCGTCTACCACACAAGGACAGGGACGACAGATTAAACTCACTTATTTTATTTTATGTCCCAATATCGGAAGGAAGCTTGCTAGAATGTAGGTCTGCCTTCGACAAAGAGCAGTGGGATAAATGCCCCACAACCCTTGGAATATGCAACGTCCCAGCTAAAATATGCCACCTTTTCAAAGGCCAAAATGTCTCGAAAGGAAAACCCCCTCCAATGAGGGTAACTCTTGACTCGGTACGACTTGCTGAAGACATCATCTTTTCATCACAAAGACCATTGGTTAAATTGTCCCCGCCGATCCGCATCAGGCATGACAAGTCGTGGTCGGTACGATCGGCAGCCAGGACTAAGGCATGCACCAAACTACAGGCCACCATGGTTGTTCACGGTGTACCCGAACTCGCTGACGGTAACCCAGAAGAAACTCACGAACACGATGTGCAACAGTAGCGGTAGCCATCGCGTAGCCTAGCCCTTCACATCACGATGTCTGTCTGCATTTCTTGGTTGCCCCGCCCGTCACGCCTTACGTCCATCAAGTCAACAAGTATGATGGCTGTGACATTTAGGAACCGGAAAGATCTGACTAAAGCACTCCAATCTTGGTACAGTTCGAGGAACGATCTTTCTAGCCACATCAGGTGTTGCGAAAGCCAACCTAGATCTGTGAGACAACATCAGGGAGGCCACAATGAACTCACAAAACTGACAGTTGACCTCGGTCAACAACTCCTGGCACAAGACACGATTGAACTCACTGCACAGGCAAATAGCCTGCAGAGGCCAGTTCCCACAGCACTGGCCAATTCGATTTGGATAACTTTTTTTAAAATCCGACAACAGCTGCTGCTGCCGAAGTGCACCAGGTGCTGAGACAGAGCACCAAGTGCCTCTATATCAACTCAAGAGGGCTGAGGGGTAAGCTGTTAAAAATCAGGAATATGTGCTCTCAGATGGATGTGAAGATCATAGTGCTGACTGAAACATGGCTATCCCCTGACATTGCAGACGAAGAAGTGAGCTCGTCAGGCATGACACTCTTCCGAAGCGATAGGGTACACCAAACTGGAGGTGGAGTGGCTATAAATATAAACAGCCACTTAAAAGCCGAACGGCTATACGACACCAGCTAACTGAGGTGACAGAATCATTTTGGTGTTGTGTCCACACAAATGGCACGAAATACTTTACTGGAGGGATTTACCGACCTCCTTCGGGTACTAAGGTCCAGAAAAACAAACTGACTGAGGTAATACTGCAACTGCCACTCCTGGGGTTTGATCAAATACTCTTAGCTGGAGATTTCAATACTCCATCTCTAAATCTCAGAGTATAACTCCCACTGGTTGGTTCCAAAGACAACTTGAAACAGCCATTAGAAGCTCTGGGCTGACTGAGCATGTATGTAGTGCCACTAGATGGACTAAAGAGTGAAATTCTTCAAACCTTTTTTGTCTGTTAACAAATGACCGGCTCCTGGTTGAGGATGTTTACGTGCATACACCAATAGGTAGTAGTGACCATCGCACAGTCTTGTTTAACATGGTCATAAACGAAACACTCGCACAGGACGATAACGAGCCCTATATTCGCTACACTAGGGCAAACTATACACGTATGAGAGAGGTCCTCCTACATACCGCATGGCCTCAGAAGTGGCGGAAGCTGATAGTAGATGATCGCTGGAAAACAGTGAGAGATATAACCCAAAACGCTGTTGTAGACGATGTACCTCAGTCACACCACACACCTGGGAATAGAAGAACTTAGTTTAGGAGCGGCACTGAACGCTTGCTACAAGCTAGGAGGAGAGCCTGGCACAAGTGGAAGGTCTCCTTGAAGGATAGCGATCGCAGTACGTACGTGGCATCGGGAAACAGATGCAATGCCAAAGCTCGAAGTGACAGGAGACAATTTCAGATGAAGCTAGCTGCCAAAATAGAGGCAAACCCGAAGCATCTGTTTAGGTTTATATCCAGAAGTTAAGCTGCTAATCAAGGGTTGTGACTGAGCGTTTGAACCAGGCGCCCAAATGTTCAGAGTACTACGCAAACCCAGTGCCAATTGACGGCTCAGGGAACATCCGTATCATACCTGACTCTGGACAAAGTAAACTAAAATCTTTAAGCCCAGGTAAGTCAACAAGTTGTGACAAAATTCGTTTCATAGTCTTGCAACAATGTGCAGAAGTCCTCTGTTCACCGATATGTGACATGTTCAGGAATTCACTGGAGTCACACCAACTTCCAGCTGAATGTAAACAAGTTACTCCCTCAAATCTTCAGATGAGGAGATAGAAAGGACCCACCCTGTTACAGACCAATCACATTACTACAAATACTATGAAAGGTAATGGAAGGACTAATGGACGAACAAATGAGGGAGTACATGGATAAGAATAAAATACCCCATGAAGCTCAACACGTACATCTAATCTTCTCATAGTATGGGACAGCTGAATATCCTGTTTGGACAGTAAAATACCGGTGCACGTAATATTTTTCGACTTTACAAAAGCCTTTTACACAGTGCACCACGCATGCCTAATCGCAAAGGTTATGGAAATGGGCTTCCCTGACCCACTCGTATCTTGGCTTAGAAACTACCTTGTGAATAGAAAGTTTCATACTAAGGTAAATAGAGTGCACACGGGCTGGCAAGTATCCACATCGGGAGTCTCACAGGGGACCATCTTAAGTCCACTTCTCTTCCTCATATTTATTAACGACCTGTTAGGCTCAGTTAGCTCACCGGCATTGACCTATGCAGACGATGCGGAGATCTGCAGGTCAATTAGAAGCGAAGAGGATTCGACTGAGATTCATAAGGACCTTACATTTATTTAGGGATGGGCAGTGAAAAAGGGTTTAAAACTCAACCGACCGAAATGCCACGTCACGTATATTCTGCCTCACACGACGCAAATGATCTACACCCTCAATGGAAGTCCGCTCCCTAATGTCTCCTCAGAGCGCGATCTCGGTTAAATAACCACAGAAAGCCTCCACACGAGTCCGAAATATGTAGGGATGTAGCCAAGGCCATTGCGACCCTTCACTTTATGTGAAGACAACTTGGTGCTATCACCCCAGAATTATTTTTAACACCATTTAAGACGTGTGCGTGCCCACACCTGGATGTTCACAGCGTCATCTCACCCCCTCTGCTTAAGAGGGACATAAATCTTGGGATCGAGTGCAGAGACGGGTAACGGAATGGGTGATAGGGTTGAAGAACAGACCTTACGAAGATAGACTCCAGCAATTAGGATTATTTTCCCTGAGAATCAGAGGTGATCTGATTATGGCGTACAACATATTGAGCACGCCAAACCATCCCAGCAAGAGCATCTTACCGATGCATCATCACCACTCCCCTCGAGGCAATCCTCGAAAGATTGCACATCAGAGAACGAATACTCAGGCTCTTGTACAATTTTTATCATTGCGAGTCGTCGCAGCTTAGAATGTTCTCTCAGCCTAGGTGACCACAGCCCCCTCGGTGGACAGCTTTAAGAAGAGACTTGATAATCACGTATTCAAATACGGACTATCATCTCCCTCTTGGACAAGCTGCTCATGATTCACACCTTGAGACCTGCTAGTTGTTATCATTTACTTAATCTCTCTCGCTTGCTATCTCTGTTTGCTCTCCCTTGCTTGCACTACGGTCCTCTCTCACAATCATCACTACCAATTAACAAACTAAATTCATCTATATATTACTCAGTTCTGAAATCTTATTCATATTAGCATTAGAATTTTATCCGTATTGTCCTTATTATCCTCCACATTGCAACTAAATGATCTCCGGTCTGATAATGTGATAGCTGCTGGTATCCAAAAACCCTTCTTCCCTGAAACAATTCATTCTAACCCCGGTACATACAGACTCACGAACAACTGTCAACTGACTAGAATTAGTCAGTCGAGTGGATAGACCCCTATCCGTTGGACACTATGGAACACCTGGAACCGTACTGAAAGAACAAGAACCGAGCGCAAAGAAATCAATTGTTTTACACTAGCTCGTGAAAAAGATATTGGAAGATGGTCATATTAATTTAATGGCACTTCTGTTACGGTGAAAGTACCTTCATACTCTTATTTAATAGATTTTGCTTCTTAATCAGTTAGCCACATAAGCAAAACGATGTGTTTGATCAACTGACCTCAAAGAGTTAGGTCAAACTACTATTTTAAAATTGTTTGTCATAGCGGTAATTCAAGAGATTCCTGTTCATATGCATATCAGGTCGTAGTGTATCTAGCCAAATTGTTCCTTGTATTTTCGATATCCAGACTATCATTATCTAGGGATCTTGTTTTGTGTGAATGTCGTTTATTTTTTTAAAAATTAAATATAAGTGCACTTTTCTTATGTTTGTCTCTTCCAGCTCGACCCACTCACGCTACTCTGAATACTTCACTAGTACACAAACTACCTCCTGGTTAAACGCGAAAAGCTGTAGCATTGTGATTGGTCTCACGTTTTCTTGCGTTCAAATCCCCTGGCGGATACTCAAGTGAACTGAATTTGATTCATTGCCAACCGCCTTCGCAAACATTAATTTAAAGAATATCTGTTTGTTCATCGCAAGTATATCTCTAGCTTCAGTTCAAAAAAGCTATTTCAGTGTCGCAGTTGACCATTATGTCTGATATTGATTCAGACAAACCGCTTCTTGCCGAAGGTAACAGAAATTAGTCTAAAAATTATTATCTTAGGTAATTGTACTTCCGTAAAAGAGAACCAGAATATTACTGCTGTGGAGAAGCTAAGTAGACTTCCTCTCTCACGTATTAAAGTAATAGTGAAAACAGTACCATCCGTTTCTTTAGTTACTTCAGAGGCACTGGTTGCAGTTGGATTCCTATGTGAGCAGTTTATTAATGAATTTTGTCGCAGTGTTATTGAAGTAACTGCACAAGAAGGTAAAAAAACGGTTACCAAGCAACATGTTCAGAGTGCTGTTCAGTTAACCCCAAAGTACGAATTTCTTGACGGAATTATTGAATAACTTATTTTCACACGGAATAACAATGGATTACCCCTACTTCACCAAACAAGCTCAAAGTTATGGAAACAACGTAAGACAATAACGTATACACTCTGTACATTTCCATGAAGATGCATATGATACCTATTCATAGCGTTTTGACAAATCCGATTTCGTCAAGACGACTCTAGCGGAGGCGATTTCTGTCATTCAGAATAGTAATGGGCCGGACGCGGTCTAACTGTACCTGCTAATAAGTTCAGGTTTCTGAAGTTCTTTTCGTAGGATTATTTGATGTGTTTGTTAATCTACAGAGATAGATGTGTCCCTTAAGTAGATCAGTATCCGTGAGAATTGTAGCAACTCGTAAATTGATTGTGTTTTCACCTCGGTACTGCTAGTTTTTTGCAAGTTCATTACTAACCGACAGAACGCAATACATGCTCTGGCTGCTACAAAACAATCTTTCTTAGGATTAGAAATTGAAGGAAAGACGGCCCAGCGTTAGTTACTATGATGTGAGTAATCCCACTTTCCTGTCGTTAATTTGTTGCCCTTCATCCGTTTGATGTTCTCAACATTTATCATTGTCTTCAAGGCAGCCTTAGCTAGTGTCTTTTGGAGAGTGTCGACACACGAACGAGTTTAACATGCCTATAATCCAGTACTTCATGACTCTAGTCATACGATAGTAAGGATTGAATAATTACTACTATCCATTTATTGCAAGCGGGAAGCCGGTTAGATATCAACGCTGTGTTACAATTTGAAAGCAGAAATCTAGGTAGTCGTTATTTTCAAAGCAATCGATGTACGCTCACTCTACTTCAAACAATTATCCCTAAATGTATAGCCTCATAGCTGGACATGGTAACTATCCACTAATTAACCGTATGAAACTGGACTATAAGTGTCAACCTTATTTAGTACATACGTAATATTTCTGGTCTATTCACTGCAATCTGCACGCAGTTTCACTTGTGGAAACCAACTACGGCCACATTTCCCATCATCACTGTCTCCACTAGGTTCACATCTATTCTACACAAATAAACACAGTTAGTGATGCACACACATGAAGTGATGTGAATTCACCATTCAACAACAACTGACTTCTAATCTTGATTACTTCCAACTTCCATCTCAACAAAACATTATCACTGTTTCAATGCTATTTCATATCTGTTTCTTGGAATATGCCATCGAAACGAGAAACTGGCCCGACCGTAGCTGCTACCTTGACGTGGTGGTTGGACTTGCCTATCGTGATGACCCAACCGAGCTATACTGGCTGGAACATATGTTCCTGCAGGTCCTACCATGCCAGGCTGGTCGATTGGAGAACGATGAGACTAAAAGCAGCTACCCAAGGTCTGAGGGCGAAGTCGTACTGCTGACTGCACAGGGGTGTGACCGCGGTAAGGTGTTTCCCTCGGACAACCAGCATCTGCAGCAATGCTGCCTTCTCACAAGGAAGGTAGGGTTAGAAAAGGTCGGCCCTAAAAATGTCACACCTCTCCCTACCTCACGGATTTCCGTCTCCTTGGGTAAGGGTGCCCACCAAGGGCCTTTAAGAACGGAGCTAATCCTCAAAAAACCTCTCATAAAAAGACCGTGCGTGACCGGCCTCAAGCAGTTGTCCCTTGGGCTCTGCGGTCACGCACCCAGGTCTCTAAGACCAACACTAATCTATTTTCCTTTTCAGGTTCCTCAAGAAACAACCTTCCACGGTGTGGGCACCCTGGAAGTGACAACCGCCCTCATACCCGTAACAGCACGCGAGACCGAATTGGTCAAAATCAAATCCTTCCTACACCCTCTAGTACCTCTTTTATCTCCACGGCTAACGCTTCTCACATTCATTTATCACAGTGCACGGCTAATGCAGACGACACGAGTTCGCGAAATGTCGTTCCTGGTTTCCTTAAAGCCCGCTCTAGACTACATGTTGGAGCATTTAATGTACAGACATTGTGTCAAATAGGGCAACAGGCATTATTAGCTAGGACTTTAGAATCTCGTGCCATCGATGTATGCTGCGTCTCGGAAACGCGCATACAGGATCCTAGTAAAATTATTAATCTGATTTCACCTTGTCAAAATAAATAAGCAGCTCGATTTACTCTTCGTGTATCCGGTAGCCCTGATGCTGCTCCCAGGGGTCTTGTTGGCGTAGGCATAGCATTGAGTCGTAGAGCTGCAGTTCAGACGAGGTTAAAGATGAGTTTTACAGAAAGCTTTCGGACCTCCTCCAAAAAGCTAGGCGCTCTGATATAGTATTAATGGCTGGTGACTTTAATGCTCAAGTAGGTAGACAAAGTGAAAACGAAAGACACCTAGGTGGATGTTATGGTGTCACGGCTCAGAAAACAGACAATGGTGACCGTCTGATGCAAGTATGCTCAGACAACCGCCTATTCTTAGCGAACACCAACTTTAGGCATAAGGAAAAGCATCTGTTGACCTGGCGACCTCCAAAGTCGTCTCAACGTTGGACGCAACTAGATCACATCGCCATCAGCCACCGATGGAGGGGTTCGATAGAAGACTGTCGCCCGTTCTGGGGCGCATGTCTAGATTCAGATCATGCCCTAGCGCGAGCGCGTATTTGTTTTAAGCGTACTGGGCGTAGGAAAGACACTGTAAGAAAGCCTCTTAGGGTTTTACTTAATGATAATAAGGTGAAAAATATATTTCTGGAACAACTAGAAAGAGAGTTAGGCGACCATATAAGTGGTTCCAATCCGGAAGCAGGATGGGATGACATCAAAAACTGCTGTGGAAACAGCAGTGATATCTGCTAGTAAGGTTGACCATAAGGCTAGGATGAAGCCGTGGATCTCTGTAGCATCCACCGATCTGATGGATGCCCGAAAACTCGTCCCACCTGGCTCTGAACATGATGAAGAACGAAGTCAACTTAGGCTCAGACTTATAAAAAGCTTACGTAACGATCGCGAACAGTGGTGGGTGGCGAAAGCAAAAGCGATGGAAAAGGCAACGGCGATCGGCAACAGTAGACAACTTTTCCGACTTATCAAGGGAACTGGTATTAGGAATCCTAGTGTAAGTGAGACTATCTCGGAAAATGATGTGACTATTATTTATTCTCAATCCAGGAGACTGGATCGATGGGCAGAACACTTTAGGGGTCAGTTCAACTGTCCTCGAACCACTCTTCGGTTACCCACGATCTCCAGTCATCCTGAATGGCAAGTCGACGAGAGTCCGCCTAGTCTTAATGACGCTGAGAAAGCGTTAGGAAATCTGAAGCAAGGGCGAGCTGCGGGTCCTGATAGACTGACCCCTGAGATATTTAAGGATGGTGGTCCAGGTTTGGCAACTAGGTTGACCGAGATCTTAGGTAGAATCTGGGAACTAGACGCAATCCCATCCGACTGGTCTCAATCACTGATTGTCCCAATCTATAAGAAAGGACAAAAGTCTTCTTGTGACAATCACAGGGGAATAAGTCCAACTAATATAGTATCTAAAATATTGGCCTCAGCAATACTTCGACGCTTAACGAAAGCTCGTAAAGAGCAGACTCGAGAAAACCAGGCTGGTTTTCAACCTGGACGTGGTTGTATAGACCACATTTTCACACTACGACAGGTCCTAGAACACAGACACACATTTAGACGTCCAACAATAGCTGTTTTCCTGGACCTAAAAGCGGCATTTAACTCAGTGGATCGTGAGGTTCTGTGGCAGTGTCTGTCATTGAAAGGTGTACCAAAGAAGTACATTAACCTTATACAAGCTCTCTACTCGAACACCACTGGTCGAGTGAGAGCTTATGGCGAACTGTGATCGGAATTCTTCACTTCAGGTGGTGTCCGTCAGGGATGTCCACTCTCTCCATTCTTATTTAATTTTATCATAGACATGCTCCTAAAAATAACCGTATCCTCGTCTAAATTTTCTGGAGTAGACCTTCTACCAGGTGGCTCGCTTATTGACTTAGAATATGCCGATGACATAGTCCTACTTGATGAAGACGCTGACAAAATGCAGAGTCTTCTGACCACCCTAAGCAACAATGCAAGCATGTTCGGGATGCGGTTTTCCCCCTCGAAATGCAAAATGTTGCTTCAAGATTGGGTTTCATCGGCACCTGAACTAGTGATAGGGAGTGAAGTAGTCAAACGTGTAGACCGCTTCACTTATCTTGGGAGTCTCATCAGTGCCGATGGCCTGGTGACTGACGAAATCTCAGCACGGATACAGAAAGCTCGATTGGCTTTTGCCAACCTGCGTCACTTATGGCGTAGGCGAGATATCCGTTTGCTGACTAAAGGACGAGTGTACTGCGCAGTAGTTCGCTCCGTCTTACTTTATGGCTGTGAAACATGGTCAGTAAGAGTAGAAGATATTCGTAGGTTACTGGTTTTCGATCATAGGTGTCTTCGAAGCATTGCTCGTATATCGTGGGACACCCGAGTGAGCAACGCTGTTATTAGGAATCGGGTGCTAGGTAAGAATGGCAGATCAATAGATGAAGCATTGAAACTTCATCAGTTTAGGTGGTGCCTCGAAGAGCTTTGTTTTGTAGTGTAGGAGTAGGTTGGAACAAAATTAGGGGCGGCCAAACCAAAACATGGAGCAAATCCATGAAGTCATTGACAAGTGGACTTAGCCATGTCGGTAATTGTCGACTACCTGGTTGGGGTCCGCGAGATGATAATAATCGATGGTTAGAGACTTTGAATGACATGGCTCAAAATCGTTCGCAATGGCGCCGGTGCATGTATTCTTTGTGTTCTCTCGAATCCTAATCTTCTGGGTTCTTCAACCCCTCCAATTTTGACTTTCTAAACTTTTCTCAGTTAATCATACTTCTTGAATAATATCTTCTCATCCTAACCTCTCCGGTTGCTTCTAATACCCTTACTAACTCTTCTACTGTTGGATTTGAATTGACAATTACATCTCTGTGCTGATGTGTTATGGCGACATGAACTGATGTACTTAAGTACGAAGTTCTACGTTGCAACTGACTGACTGAATATTTCTGGTCTGATTTGGCAGTCATAAAAGTAGGTGTATTATGACAGGGAGTTCAACTCCGAAAGGTGATCTATTATTGAAACTGATATCTCCAACGAACCAGTCTGTAAATACTTATATTTCCTTACTGAATTACGTCAAATATAACATCCTCCATATGCTGCCGTAGTTCAGACCATCTGTGATTTTAAGGTCCCATGTTTACAATTACACAGTGGCTCGGAACTTTATATTATCGCTTCCCAGCATCGGAGGTCGGCGAGCGGCTGAAGATGCTAACTGATCCGAATTTCGTAGTATAATGTCCAAAGATTCACTATAGAAATCACATAACTGAAGCAAAGTTCAACAGACACCTGTTACTTTAAGCTGTCACTGTCTCTTAGCTGCCGAATTTTCATTTGAAGCTTGACTAACCTCCAAAATGTACATAAAACATTCGTAAATAGTAAAATAAGTATTTTGGTTACGTGTATGATAAAACTAGGGTCCCACTCGTGATATTCATAAAGTATTCACACATAATGATTATTCGGGAAAAGAGTACAAAAGACCAAGATTAGTTTTGTGATGGAATAAGTTAATGAAAAAATACGAGGAAATATTTGGATCACAACAATAGACCTGTAATTAAATTGAAAAAAATAATACTGGCTGCGATACAAATTTGTACGTAGATTTAATCTTGAAAAGAATAATCTTCAGAGTCAATTTCACCACATAACGGGTAATCTTTGAATTTCGGTTCATCTTCATGCTTCAAATGTTCGGGAGTCTTGGGTATCTTGAAAAATTGCCAGAAAATGTATGAAAGGATGGATAATATGTAGATAATATTCATAAGGAATGAAACGACGGAAATGCAAATTATGAAGGAAACCTGTGGGTAATGGTACAGAACTCTCTGAAACCCATTAAGCGTTGTTTGTATTTTTAGCTCCGAGGCTGACCACAAGTAGCGTTCGGACTCCAGAATGATACGACCTTCCAAAACTGGTAGAGTCTAAAAGGTTAATCAATTACAACAATCGAGATACCTGTACTCAGGATAACATAATATGATGCAATAAAAAGATGATTTCGAAATAGGTGAAACGACAGTTGGCTAAGCCAAGATTGTATGAGAAAATACAGACAAAATTAATTTGTGACGATCTAATAGACATCATGGATTTGTTGTGGCGATAGTTGCATAAAAACTATCGTTTCTACACTCAAATTCGTCTCCGGTTTCCAATAGGTGCTGTCTGAGGGATCTATAAAGGGGTGCTTTTCTCTCTGAAGGATTGATGGGCATCGGCAATATGTCCGCCATCGACCAATTACACTAGGAGTATGGCACATCTTAGCTTCAAGTTCTTTGAAAGATGGTCGGAAATGCAAACATTTACACTTGTCTGTGTTTTAGCGGCTGGATGAGGGGCTGTGGTTCGTTAGCGCAACAGTGTCATCTATTCTGGAGCTAGGGCGAAGGGGGTGGGGCTTTTCAACTGTATTCTAATTGAAGCATTATTTCGAGAGTGCATATTAGTGAATTGTTTAGATGTATTTCTGCGTAAATATTTTTCACAAGGAGGCAGGACAGAAAGTAAAAAGTTATCGAGTTGTGGACCGATAAGGATTTAGAGCTGACTCAAGGTTCCTGGTGCTAAACGTAATTCCGATTGGTGTTTTGTGCTTTTCACATTTGTCAACGGTTAGGGATGTAACAATAGTTCTTTTCAGCACTTAAGATTTACGATATGTCCTCTATCTGACATTCCCAGTCAGGAACAAGTGGAAGATTCTAAGTTGCTTCGCGACCGTAAAAACATGGTTTTTTAACATTTATATGGAATGATTAATCGAGAATAGAAAATAAAGCTTCCGTTACTAATAGTAGTAAAGTATCTTAAGTGGTCTTTCTTGGAGTTAAAGCCAAGTTTTCTCTTATTGCTTCGATCGCAATACCAAGTTTTTTTATTCTATGCAAACTTGTTATGTTGTTCAAAGTGGTTCTCATTAGTCATGTATTTAACCGATTAATTTTCCAAAAACAATAGGTGGTTACAGTGAGACCTATATAATAGCAAGCAAAGTGAATGTAAGACAAAAACTAGTGGCTGATCTTATTTTAGACTTTTTTGAAAGGGAAATTCCTTAATAAACTGCATTGACAGATCAAATTATTGCTTTGAAATTTTGAAGTTAGTATCAATGTAAAAAATGATTAAATATACAGTGATAGACTGACCACATCGAACTGGAAATCAGGTGCCATCTCCACCGAAAGCAGCATTTCTTCTTTCATTTTGCCGATTATATACAGGGGTGAAAATAGTATATTACTTATCAACCGAACTTCATCAGATCGATAAGGCATAGAAAACTGCAAAAAGAAACAACATTTTGACGAAACAGTCGGTAAGGCAATAAAAGAAGTATGGTGAACTATTCATGAAGAACAAAAGGATTTAACTGTGGAGATTAGTGCAAGTTAGCGCCTTTAGCTAGTATACCAGTAAGAAACAAAGCTCTGGGTTGTTGCTTTGACCTCATTTGATGCACCTAAAAATATTCCAAGGATCAAGCTTAGAACCTTCGAGCTTTGCAGCAGACGTACTTACACGTGAATCTTGTCTGTTTTACACTTGTACGCATACACCCATAAAACAAGCAGAGTGTGAATTTCAACTCATTATCGTCCGAAAATACATTTCACTGTATCGTAAGTTGACGCACCCAAAAATTTACGAATATTCTGATAACAAAATCGGTATTAGCATCGCTTCTCGTAGATGAAAATCAGAAAAGGGGACTAGAGTTCTCTTATTTCAGTTTAAAAAGACAAAGTCGTGGAACCAAGTCAGGTGGTTAAGAGTGAAATATATATATATATATATATATATATATATATATATATATATATATGCAGGAAAAAATACATTTGAACGCAACAGTATAAAGAATATGAGCGAACATCTGTTTCCGTTAGCTTTCCGATACGATCTTACAGTTAATCCAAAATTTTATTCCATTAAGAGATATGAGTTGAATTAACCAGTGTTGAGTAAAAAATTTCATATCGACTAAGTACTAAATGCTACAAAATACTAACAGGAAACGTCACTGGTTAGGGTTAGGAAATTCATAAAAGGGAAGATAAGAAAAATTATATGCCTTGAGTAATAATAATACAATCAAGTAGTATATAGAAGTTTGGTACATTTTATCACATAGCTGTAAGCGAAGCTTGTGTCATGGTTGTAATTTTGCCTAATTTTGTGCAGATGGCTTCAATAACAAAGTCTATAAATCGATTTTCACTTGATTGCAATTTTTTTAGTTTGTCGAGAGACAAAGTCCAGTCTTCTGATTGTTTTTACTCTGTCACAAGGTTTTAATTGATGGTCGATTACACGAGATTTTCAACAAAACTAATGGTTTAATATTGATTCTTCGGGAATGGTTTTATACGGCTTTAATTCTGACAGGAACAGACTGTTACCAGTAAACTGAAAGATTTATATTTTCGATTTAATAGACGTAGCTGATTTGTTCATCAATATGGTTCACTTCTGAAGCGCTTGCTTGAAGTAATGCATGCTAATATAGACATGATACGTCTAACTGTTTATGTAAACGATAATATGAAATGCTCGTAACAAATCGTTATACACCACGGGAAACAGTTAAAGTGAAACTTTCATAGCAATACTTGGAACTTACTGGTTTTCTGAAGCGCTGTATAAGGACATGTTCACGGCCATACAGTTCCAGTGTGATGATACTCATACCTCAGGAAAAATTCAACGTTAAGATAAGAATGAACATTTTTCCAAAAACAACGTAAAAATGAACAACAATAAAGGAGAAGACGTATATTCTGCAGTGAAGTTCATTGAACAAAAAATTTGTGCAATACGATAACGTAAAACTTAGCCTTAATTGGAAAATTGAAGGGTGTTTTATTTCGACTTGAGGTTCAGTCAAAGATTTATGCTCTCACATGAACACAATCTGGACTTACCCGACAGAGATACGCAATAAAAGTGATTCAAACTTCACACATATGATTAGAGACAGGTGGAAAATTAAGGAAAACATGAAATTATTCGATACTAAATACTGCAAATGTATGTTTATCGTAAATCATATACGACATCAAGAGAATGGCAATCAGCTAGAAATATAAAACGGTTTTTAACCAACTAATAGTAGTGTGCTTTATCTATTACACATCGGCTGCGTTTAAGCTCCAGCTATCATTTTACTAAAAAATAGTTCATAATTGTTTAATTTCATATGAAGTAACAGCCGACTATATAATCTAATTGCTAATCCAGGAGAAAATATGACGATTAGTAAGAAAATGGACAGAGACCCTTAAGGATTATTGACTGAAAACTCTTGCTATCACCTAAAAACAATTTTAAAATCTCGGAGAGCACGGCAAGAGAGCAAAAGTAACAACCTTATTCTGGCTTTCTGATCAACTGCCTTTAAATATATGTCCAATTGTTCACTTCAGGATTATAATCGGACGGCAGAGAATTAAAAAAGGTATAACCACAAATAGAGGAACGTGAGAGTAAAATCACTCATACCTGCATTTCTATTATGAATCGAATCCGGAAGCCACAGGTTCAGCAGGAGCATGTACGGATATTTCGGTGTTAAAAGCTACAAATTATTCACAATTTAGAACAGTAAACTAACAGATATTCCATTTTCGGAAACTGAGAAATTAGCTGTGGGGAAACTGCAAACATTTGAATACCCCATTTGTACATTACATTTAGTACTAGATTTGGGATAAAAAGAGTGGGCGAAGATTAGCATACTCGAACACCAAATCTAATGATCTTTCCAGTTTTACAGTTGGAATATAAGTTTGGCAGAGTAGAATGAACACCATAATTCCATATGCAAAAGTCACAATTTCAATCATCAAAAATAGAAGAGCATAGTGGATAGTCTTCCATGATATTGAAGATAACCAGGACGGATAATAAGAGATTTTATCAAACATCAGAGTGAAATATATTATTGATCAAACTGAAAGATTAGGAGAATACGAGTTTATAATTAAAATTAACACACAACAATGTATTTTTATTGCAATAATCAGTAAAAATCTCTGTTGAAAATTATCTTATTCCAAATTTTAACAACATTTTCTAGTACATTCTTAGTAACCAACACTAAAATCATATAGAATACTTAGCAATATTAATATACTACTGGTGCATCTAATCTTTGTCCCCAGCCAAGTTCTAGGTTACAGAATACTCATGAAATGTTTTTTTCTTTTTTCTGAGATTTGTTTCACTAGTTTATATTTTCTCGAACCTTATTTTCAATCTTTATTCTCTTCAGTTACACTAATACTAATACTGCACTCACCACACTCTAGGATATGGCCCAAAGATTTCATCTCCATTTTTTAGCGTGGTACGGCGGCTGGAACCAATGTACATATGCACCAAAGTTTACGTTGCAACTAACTGACTGAGTATTCACTGGTTGTACAGCTTACATTGGTGTACGATACCACTCAATCAGTCAGCAACAACACAGAACTTGGTACGTACGTACATCAGTTCAAGTTGATATACCACATTAGTACAGAGAAGCAATTGCCAATTCAAATCCCATAGTAGAGGTATTGGAAGTATTCACGATAATTATAGAGATTAGGGATCGGTAGTATGAATCGAGAAATATATACCAGTGGAATCAATTTTAAAAGAGAAAAAACGGTCATGAGGAACTCAAATGATTAGAATTTGAGAGAACACAGAGTGGACACACGTGAGCCGTTGCAAACGATTTTGAGCCACGTCGTTCAAGGTCGCCAACCATCGGTTACGAATGTAGGTAGCATCGCTGCGGATACTGGCTTTCTTGGGGAAACAGCCTTCTGTTGTCATCCATGTACAGTGGGCAGTACGATTTCGCCCTCAGACCTTAAGTTGCTGCTTCAAGTCTTACGTTCCCCAACCAACCTGCCTGGCGTAGTAGGACCTAAAGGAACATGCTCGAACCTATATAGCTCGGTTCAGTCATCAAGATAGGCAATGCCGACCACCAAGTTAAGGTCGTACCTATGGTTGGAGTCATTCAGATCCCAAATTCAAACCTTTATAGTGTATTAAGGTTTATGAATGTGGCAAGCAGACTAAAGCAATAACAGTTTTTGACTTGATGTGAAAATTTTTGGTAGTAGTACGTTCCGTGCAGGCGTATGAAGGTGTTGAGTAGGATGCACACTTGTTTTCGGAAAACAAAGTTAAAGGAACTATTTTTTAGTACGCCAAAAAGGATTTTTTTTATGTAAGTCGGTAGACAGTGGCCACTAAGGTGAAATAAGGTTGTTTTGTACAGGATTACTGAGATATGTGTTCAAAGTCTATAATGTCCAATATCAACATCTATACCCGGAGTACCATATACTTTACAATAAAATATTGAATTGAATTTCGGAAACCGAAAGTGCATAGAGTAAATATGCATACTTTTCTGGTGCAGCGAATATAAAGTGGGATATTTGGATGGGTTTGCTACCACTAACGTAATACAGGAACTGGTCAAAAGTCTTAATATTCAGACCTAACAGAGGCTACACGTAGCCAATCCCTGAGTGGTTAAATACCATCGCTTACATTGAATGGAGGCATATAACCGAAGTATTTGAGAACGTTTGGTTGACTTTATTACGAAAGAAATGTAATAACCATGTTACTAGATTCTATAATAAAATACTTTTATCTCAAACTAAGTGAAGCACGGAAACTATAGTTTTCAACACTCGCTAATCTTATATAAATCCAACTCACACAAAAGTTGTGGTAAACTCCATAAAGTATGAATGTCCGAATAAGTCGGCTATTTGTAGGTGAAATAATGGAAGTTTTACCAATCAAGAAAAACAGAGTGAGGAAAACTTAAGACTTCTAAGGTTGCAAGTATGGTCCAAGTCTTATTGAAGCATACGACTTTTAGGATACTCCACATAAAAGCCTTACAATAGTAAATTAGGTATTGAAGATAGATTTTCAGAGTGGCAGTTTCTTACAGTCAGCACAAGAACCCGACTAATTCACTCACACAATAGCCTAAAATGGATCTAAAGTCGGACTCTTCTCTTTTCAAAAAATATTCAATAAATGGCTGGTTGATCTGTAAGACGCCAAATTGCATAATGTAGGATACATAAAATTTAAAACATCGACGCGATATTTAGGGAAAAGGCGTGGATGTGAAGGAATGAACATGTGTCAGTTTTTGAAATTAAAAGACAGGTACCTTTCATAAACAGTTTGGAGTAACGTTTTTTGTGCCTAGATTGGTTTACCCCGTCCAGGTTTAGTGACGCACCCGTCGACTTGCGCGCTTACTTTCTACGGTAACACTGTGTGCTGGCAAGCCGATGAAGCCCGTCGCCAGATGGCTTTCAAGCCAAAGTGACATTCTACCGATTTCTGTGATAAAAGAGTAAAAATCTGAGTAATAAAGAATGAAACAATTTAGTCCAATATAGTTTACGAGTTTTTGCTACGCGTGAATGCTAGGTCTCAACTTGTCACTGGAACTCTGAAAGCTCCGTCACGAAGCTCGTTATATGGTAATTTCTCAGGTTTAGGATATTCACCTATCAATCTGCAGTCAGTCCATCATTTCAATGAACGTGAAAAGTCTCCGCAAACCTTTGTTGACAATATATGACTTCATCTATCCTCATTCTCCTGTCTGAAGAAACAGGTTTCTTCAATCACTGGAGATAAGAATACACAGCGATCAATGAAAACTACTTGCATGTAGTGAAAGGACGAGAAGTTTTCGAAATCATCTCACCACGGATTAGTCCATTCTCTAGTTATACGAGAAAAAAATACACATGAAAGTTATTAGATTCTACAGGTAATATTTGTGAAACTGTGGAAATAATGTTCGTATCAAGTACGTAGATGCTGGATAATCAATCTGGTTTGTGAAACTCACTTGTTTACTCACGCGTGTAAACTCCTTTAATGGCTGTGTTAAATTCGAACTAGGCTCACCATTTTAATGACTTGTGATTGGATTCCACTCTGAACTAATGACCGAGTATGCGCCAAAATTAATCTTTCCTCCCATTTCCCTATATCATACTGAGTCAAAATCCGTTTGTGCGATGGTTGTGACAAGAAGCTAAACACTGTTTCGCGGATGAATTTATTCCATGCAATCATATAGGTAGACAGACGTGGGAATGAAAAGCCTACAAGTAAATCGAAGCAAGTGGAGAAGGCAAGTGGGTGAAGTCTCTTGCGCCTGAGCATGGCTAAGTGTGTATAGTCCGGCAAAAATGAGCTAGACATGCAGTAAGCGAATGAGCATCCACAAACACGATCAAATACACAATAATCGATACTGTTATCGAATTATTACATTGTTAAAAAATGGTCGATACAACTGCCGAATAATTTAAACGACTAATCATTTAAGTTAGTACAATGAATAAATGAAGAGGTGCTACATTTCAACGGAGCATAGGCCGCCAACCAACACTCTCCAACCAACTCTGTCCTGGGTCTTCATTTCTAGTTCAATCTAGTTTTCGTTCATTCCTATCACGTATTTCTCAATTTTTCGCCGTAATGTGTTCATTGGCCTGCAGGATTCCAAATGAGGGCCAGTGCTTTGAGGCAATTGGGTGCTTCCTACTATGTGACCTATCCACTCCCATTTCTTCTTCCTGATTTCCTCCTCCACCGGAATCTGGTGTGTTTGCGAACACAACTGTTAATGAATGCTTGTATCTTCCGGGTGATGGCTTTCGTAATTCTCCAACTTCCCGGCCTATACAATAGAACGGCCGAAGCTTCACCGTCATGGGTGATTTGGTTTATGCATCTTTCGTTGTGTAGGAGAATCTTGCTTTTTCCTTTCCTTACGTCGAGACCTACTGCTACTTAGACTGCTGATGCACTGGCTATCTCTCCTTTCATTTGTTGTTGCGTGTGCGACAGAAGGGCCAGATCATCTGAGAAGTCCAAATCATCCAGCTGCACCCTTGCTGTCCATTACATCGCGTGCTTCTCTCCAGACGTTGACGTCTTCATAATCCAGTCGATCACCGAGAGAAAGAGAAAGGGTGAGAGTAAGCAACGTTGTCTGATATCGGTCTTCATCTCGAACGAGTCTGTCAGCTGTTCTCTGTGTACGAACTTGCAGTGCAGCCCATGGTAAGAATTCTGTATGAAATTGACCATCCTTTCAGACATGAGTTACTGTTGAAGAAGCCTCCATAGTGTTTTCCTGTCAACTCTATCGAACGATTCCTTGTAGTCAACGAAATTGATGTGGAGTGGTGAATTCCTTCCAAGTGATTGTTCGACAATGATCCGAAACGTTGCAATTTGGTCGACAAACTATCGATCCTTAGGAAATCCAGCCTGTTGACCTAGAAGTTGGGTGTCTACGAAGTCTTACATTTTGTTTAACACTACTCTATTGATTACTTCGCCTGTTATTGAGAGAAGAGTGATGCCTCAGTAGCTCTAACACTTGCTGAGATGGCCTTTCTTTGGTATTTTGATGAGGTATCCTTCTTTCCAATCTGATGGTACATGTTCTTCATCCCAAATCCTGTATAAAGAGGATGCGAAATATTTGTGCAGTTGCTTCCACATCTTTTTTTCGAAGGCACATTGGTTTTAGAATCCCTCATCTTATCCACTGTTGCCAATGCCAAACTTGACACTTAGGTCGCCCAAGAAAATGGTCAACTCCTTTGATGAGCATCAGTTGATAATTGACTGTAGCCTCTCGTAGAATTGATCTTTAACGTCGTAATTGTAGTCAGTGGTAGGTGCATAACATTGGATGACGTTGATTGTAAACTCCTCTTTCTTTGTTTTGAAGGTTGCTTTAATGATCCTGGGTCCATGAGACTCCCATCCTATCAGTGCCTTTTGTACTTGTTTGTGCAGCATCAGTGCAACTCCTTGTGTATGTGAAGCATTATCTTCTTCATGGCCAGAGTGTAAAAGCAGCTCTTCTGAAGCTAGTCTCAGTTGTCCAACTTGCGTCCATCGTGTTTAACTGATTCGGAGCATCTCCAGGTTGTATCTTTTCATTTCTGCGGCAAATTGTAACAGTCTTTCCCCCACAACTTTCGAACGATCTGCGTACCTAAAAGAATGATGTTCTGTTTTTCAGAAGAGGCATCGTCCTAGTGACTTCCGAAGGAACTCAGCTTTCATCATGAGATGTCATAACTCTACTGAATGAAGACTATCTAACTACCAGGGCAGATTTAAAAAGGTTTGAACAATGCTTTCTGGTTGGCGTTTTTTAGCAGGTCGGTTTTTTTAAGGGATGGGGTCGCCTACCCCATGCCAAACATCCTACATTTTCCGGGCTCCAAACAGAAAGTAGCCCTAGAAGGGCTCCAGGAGAAGCATTGTTTTGTACCGCAGCAATTCCTTTCGTTTGTTTTCGGAAGATTTATAACTGCATTAAAAATACTGCCTGTTAAAAATGCATTGAACAGTTAGTTAAGCAGTTCGTTCAGAATCTACGTGAACCTCAAAAAGTCTGTTAACGTTTATAATTCTTTTGACCCACTTTAATGGTGATATTCATGAATTTAACTTTATATCACGAACTCTAATACTCCTAATTGTAAATAATATAGTGTTACGTCCAATTTTTGCTCCTTCCTCCTTTGAAGTACGGTGTGTCAATCTATTTGCAATTCACGAACCTAGTTGATAACAAAACGAAACTCCAAAGTAGGTACCAAAGTTTATTCTTAATTCACAAATAATCGACCAAAATGTCGTTCGTCAATTACAAATAGACGACCAATGTCGTACTTCCATTTTATAGGTTCCTGGAGCAAAAAACTGCAAACGAACAAACCAAGACAATTAGGAGTCCAAAATGGTCGAAAATAATAATTCAAACAAGTTCATAAGTTAAGCAAAACAAATATACCCAAAAAACACAGTGAAATTAATGATATTTATATAAAGGTTTTAATCAGCCAAATGTCTTCATTTCTCCCGTAACACTCCCGACCAAAAGAACCTTGGTTCTGTTCACCGACAAAAATAGTTAACAACAATCCAAGTATGTGCATCACATCAATCAACAACAAACATGCAAAGTAGATTCTACACCGGCCCGCAAAATCCCTACATGCAAAAAAGGGCAAGCGTTTAATGACACTTCAATTTAGGGTTCACTCTCAACCCCTAATCCACACAAGATGAACGAGTAGGACTTACAACAGTACGCCTACCCGCCCTCCAACATGTATATGACCTACCAAACTAACTATGTACCTGTAGCTTCCTATAAGGTCCTTGATTCCCCTATCTATCGTAGCATGACCTAACGGTAGTATAAACCTTATCCAATTAGCCCACATGAACATGTACAACACGTCGTAAAGCTGGTCATATCCTATCCGGAATTTGCATTCCACATCATAGGGATGAGTCGTCAATCCACCACCACTTGCTCCGGACAGCAGATACAATGAAGTCCGTGATGCTGACTTATCAACAGAAGTTCTTGACCCATAGATAATATGCAAGGGTGGGATCTCCAATTTTGACATCTCCTCGTCTCCTGAAGACTCCAAGTGGCATAACATAGGAACAATATTTAACTCTCCATCTCCTGATACAGAGGAGGTTTGATCAGCATTCGTCATCGTCGACAACTCATTTGTCACATCAGTGACATCCAGATTATTATCATCGTCATCATGATTCCGTTATGTCAGACAAGTCGGGTCGTTTCTTGCTGCACTAGCATCCGTAGAGTGAAACTCTTCCATTGTTGTACAACTCCTCTCGCTACATGAAAGAACAGCATTAGTGTCACAATTCGAAACCGACAAACTCACTTGTTGTTCTTCATGTTCCGTTTCAGAGACACAAGACATATGCACATCAATAGCATCGTTGTCATGCAACACTGTAGACTGGCTATTACCATCAGACACTTCCTTCTCATCGTCACTCGACTGACAGACAACCGGAGTAGGAACAATTACAGTTACACAACCTTGTGCATCTTCAGTCAACTTAACATTCGCAGCAGGGTTCGATCATGTCAAAACACTAATATTTCCTTTGCTAGTCACAGCATCCGAAAGAGAACGAAGTTTGCGCTTCTTAATAATAGTAGGATCATGTCGTTTCTTATGCTTCTTAGCTTGGGTAGCAGTATGTGATATGATGATGAGTGTCTTCCAACTTCCATCGAATCACTATTACACGCAGTACTATCAATGCTATTATCATTAGTAGCCGCATCTGTACTAGTAGCAGTCATCTTCTCATGACATACAGTCGACTCATACACAGTGTCCAACCCTACATGGCCAACGTTACTTTCT